ATCAAAACTAATGTTTTTCCCCAAATTTCAGATTCAAGAAGATGTACTTTGGAGTTGAATTTTATATTAGCCCAATTAACGTCTTCTTGGATATGAAATTTGGGTAAAAACAAGAGCAATTATGGTTGGCTTTCTTCAATTACTCTTACTCTTATTAGGGTCTTACTTCCACCTCACTCAGAGATCTTCAATTTTGCACTCAGTCTTTAATCTCCCGTGCTCAAGAGTGTTCCATCCCTCGTCGTCGGAAAGCTCGTGCTCGGGACATTCAGCTCCTAATGCTCGAACACCTTGTGCTTGGAAATTTGCCATCTCTCGATTAACAATTGTTGCGCTCAATGAGAAATCTTGGATAGAGGATTAATGGGTACAGATTTATACGACTGCAAAATTTTAGGGTAGAATTAGGACTGTACAGTAGAATTGGGACAAGCCCTAAAGTTGGGGTTTTTCATGGGACAAAAAAAGTTTAGGGTCATATTGAGATTAGACCAAAAGTTTGGGATTTTTAAAGATATCAGGCTCTATTAAATGGGTGACATTTATATTTAGAGTTGATTATGTGAGCCGAGCTCATCTACATGTCAAAAGTATAAATTATTTTGTATACTGTTAATGGACTTAATAAGAATCGGCTGATCATGGTCATTCTTTCATTATTATTAAAGCTCTATTTGTATTGTGAAAAATGAAGGATTTTGAAAATGTTTTTCTAAAAATGATCTCTTTCATCGCTTGCAAGAATGAATGAACGAATGAATAAAGGAAAAATATTTTCACCATTCAAGAAAATATTTAGATATAAATTGTTGTCGGTAATGAAAATATTTTTCATTGACTAATTAATTTAAGTGATACAAGCAATCAGTTTTAGGAAAATATTTTTAAAATTATTCATTTTCCACAAAACAAATGTAGCCTAAATATAAAAAAATAGCGTGCCATAATAAATCACTATAAAAGTAAAATAATAAAAAGGTGTTTTTTGTTTTTGGTTAGTAGGGTAGCTACATATATATTATGGAGTCTAATCTTTTCTGAAGATACGAAAAGTTAACAATTACATAAATGTCTCTCTTAAAATAAAATATTAATGGGCCAGTAATGAGCCCAAATTAGGGACTAACATGTAAATGGGCTAGCTATCTAAGAAGTCGAACTATTTTTCTGGTCGCTATTCCACAAAGAGCGTAGAGACAGCAATCGCGGCTAGCAAAGAAGATGATCGATGGAGGAGATGATCATGATATATAACGTCTAACGGATAAAAAATTCTTGTAATGATAAACTGAAAATACATTTCACAATTCGAGTATAAGAACTCACATTTTTTGATCAAAAAATTGAGAGTTTAATGCATTCGGGTGCCGCATTGCCAAATGTTCCGGCTAGTAATCGTTTGCAACCCTTTGGCGATAGCCTGGTCAAGCCAAAGTCCTCCAGTTTCACATCGAAACCCTGAATCGGGCATGATGTTTGGAGACTTTATGTCCGTATGAACAAAGCGCGGTCCCCATTCTTCATGCAGGTATAGCAATGCCGCGGCTATCCCTCGTGCAATTCAGTACCTATTTTCCTATCTCAAAGAGCTTGATCTCTCCATGAATAGATGAGAGTCTAAGCTACAGGACACGAACTGGTAGACAAGGACTTCCTTTTTCTCATGATACCACCCAGTGAGCTGTACAAAATTTCCGATGTTCACTTCCATCACGTACTTCTTCGTCCCCCTGTTGAGTTTCTGGAGTAATCTTCTTGATAGCAACGTTAGGATTCGTGCTGCTCTTGTAGCCTTTATATACTCTTCCAAATACCCTTTCCCCGACCAACCGCGCACCTGCAAAACTATTGCTCGCCGCGACCGACTTGCTGTAGGAAAACTTCTTGGGTCCCTTCACTTGCTCAAAGTCTTGATTGACTATGAATAACCATCATCTTCTTCTAAGCATCGTCGATCCTAATTCCAAAAAAGCTGTCAAGGTTCGGTATGCCTCTTAAGATTCTTAAGTTTCTCCATAATTTAATAACAGACTATTATTTATTAGTTGGTGATGCGTGATGGGGATGTGTTTTGAATAACAATAGGAATTTTGATAGAAGATGATCACCACCAAAACATAACGGACACGCCACCGGCCAATGATAAAGAGCAGGATGGATGAAGTTCTCCACTGAGGATTAAAGGAACACCATCAACCAAGGATAAAGGACTTCATGATCGAAAAAAGTTCAGTGTCAATACCTAAAGGAAAACCACTAAGCAATGATAAAGGACTTTTGGGTTAAGAACCGAAATAAGAAATTTGGATTAAGAACCGAAATAAGAAATTCGCTCCCTTAAGGAAAATCTTAGGTAGATTCAAATTCAAGTTTGGTTTGCATAGAAATGAGATTGCACCTCTTTTTATAGAGGGATTCTGCTAAACAAAAGAGAATGACTCTTGGAAGTCGATCGACAACCATGAAATCGACAATAGTCTTGTGAGTCGACAACTAGCACGTACAATTGACATCTTCAAACTTGGATTAATTGTATCACGCCGTGGCGGAAATTTGTTTTTGCTTGCATGAGTAATGTTTGAGCGGGATCAACAGATGAATTCGTAGTGGGGCTTGAGAATTGTTCCAACGAATTTGATGCTCCGGCAGCAGTTGGGTAATCTTTGAAATGAAGAATTCCTAAACTCCTCGTGACGATGGAACTTCACAGCTCGAAGCACATGATTTTCGAACATGGAGAGCTTATGGCATTCCTTTAATTTTCGGTTGTCTTGTCTCCGAACATTTCTCTCATTGCTTCGGCATCTTCTGAAAGAATCTTGCTCTTGGACTCTCGACAAAAGAGTCCATCTCGGAGGCGACGCATCCTTATCCACTTCCTGCGTCCAACTCACCAAAAGCGATAGAAATTCACTACCAGCGCCGGCCAAGCCGCTCACCACAAGCCCTTGCAACGCTGGGATGAAACGATGGAAATGTGGCCGATTTCACCACCCAATTCACCTTGTTATTGATTCTGAAGAGTTTGAAGAATGTGCCGACAGGTTGGCCTTTTTCCTCACTCCGAACGGATTTCTAGTCCCGGACAACTCGTCGAGAGGCTATTTGGCTCTCTTGAGGGCGAACTGAGACCCTTGTAATTTGTTGCAGAAGCCAAACGATCGAACAATGAATTTGACATAATAAAGAAAATAAATTGGATACTTGATATACGTGGTTCGGTTATAGTGACCTACGTCTACGGAGAGAGCAGCACGAAATTCTATTATAGATCAAACGATACAAAGGAGATTACAACAGTCACTCAAACACTCTCGGTGTTCCCAAACCCCAATTACACCCAATAACTCACGTAGTGTTTAGCCCACAATTCCTTATGAAATAATCTCATTATCTCGTGAAGAAATTACACAAATCTTACTACAAGATTTAATCACTCAAACACATTCGGATATCTTCAGGGTGTAATTCACTAGCAGAAGCTTTTCTTTGATAATTTTCACAAATAACATTCCCTTCTTATTTATAGGCAAAAATTGGATAAATATCTCTTTAGGGTGTAATTCACTAGCAGAAGCTTTTCTTTGATAATTTTCACAAATAACATTCCCTTCTTATTTATAAGCAAAAATTGGATAAACCTCTCTTTAGGAAACCTTCTCCAATTAGGAAATCTTTTCCAACTAGGAAACTATTCAATTAGGAAACCTATTCAAAATAGAAAACCTACTTGAATTAGGATAATTTCCTATTCAGGATTAAACTCGAGATATTATTTAACATAACTCTTTGATTGTATTTGTTGCTGTGGAATTTGATACTTTCTATGACAAGTCTACTAACTTTTTGGGATATGCAATGCGGACAAGTTGGCTTAGACTTGAATAACAGCTCATCTGTGAGTTATTTGTGTGCTGATTGGTTCAAGGACGAAATCAGGAGTGGTGGACGCATCTATGTGACATACAGCTGGAGCACGCCAAATCTGAGTGTCCTCATGATGAACCTTAGCGCACCGGTCCGGAAAGACACGCTTCCACTCTCTCTTGCTCGGTTGACTCGAGAAGCTAGTTTCTGAAGTGGGTAACCTTCGGTTTCTCAGCCATGACCGGGTTGGATTTCGAGCTCCATACTCTCCATGCTTGGGAATTTCTCTTAACTTGCAAGTTTCTTTGCCAACAGTCCCAATGCTAGTTACAATGTTAGAGGAAAGAAGAGCAAGTCTGGGCTATGTTCTCTCTCGGATTTAGGTTCATTTGGGTTGTCGGGCTTCACTTTGGTTTCATCATCGGCCTAAGAGAAAACAAACTACGACAACACTTGTACAAATTTACTGAAAGGAATTCAAGGCAACAATCTATTAAAAGGAAAGCAGCTAAGGATTCATATTCGCTTAGGTACTTGAATTTACATAATAAGGAGAACGTAAATTACCAGCTTGTGTTATAACTAATCATAAAAATTATGACTTTATATGGTTATATTATAGAATTGTAGAACACAATAGAAATTAGGGGTGAGCATGGTCCGGATGAGCGATTCTCACGTCGGAAGATAAGACAGTGCATGCAGCAAAGAATTCATTCAATTTAAGTTTGCCACATTGGAACAAGTGCAAAAAGACGAAGAGAACTTCAATCGGTTGGCAATCGAAGAACAAGTTCAAACTTGATTAAGGCTTTAATCTAGCCTTGGAACAGGCGGAGAAAGAGAGCTAGAGAGAACAAAAAAGGCGGAAATTGCTGGGAAGATTAATTATTAACTAATTTATTATGAAGTGGGCCCTCGACATTTCTTAACACCATCCCCTTAGGTTATATCAATTCCTGCCATGGTTCTTTTTCCGTTTATAAACCGTGTGGACTCTTGTTATTTTCGTTTACATTAAACCGTTCCGCGGTTGCTCGCAAGTTCTTCAGCAACCAAAAGTCATTGGAACAATGTCAAAGCACCAAGAAGCTGTGCTAGATTTCAAAAGCAATCTAGAGAGCTCAACCAGAATGGAACTTCACAGCTCAGAAATCGTAAGTTTCAAGATCATAGGGCTTCAATCCCTCTTAGTCTTGGTTCTCTCTCTAGCCAATGCCTTCACGGCTTTGGCGACGTCTCAGGGCATCCATTTCAACTTCCAGACTTTCGACGGTGATAGCATTCAATTCCAAGGCGATGCGTCGGTTTCGACTGACTTCATCCAACTTACCAGGGCCAATCAAGACCAGAACCTCGTTGGGAGTGGGGGGTGGGCCACGTACCGTGAGCCGATGCATCTTTGGGATAAGGAAACCGGGAACGTAGCGGATTTCACCACCCATTTCACCTTCGTCATCAATTCGCTAAGAGAGTCAGACTTTGCCGACGGACTGGCCTTCTTTCTTGTCCCCGAGGGGTCTCAACTCCCGGTCCACTCGTTGGGAGGCGCCCTGGCTATTGTAGATCCAGGCCGCGACCCTTCCAACTCTTCCACATGGTTTGTAGCCGTCGAGTTCGACACTTACCACAACACCAATAGCACTGTTGCCGTGGACCCGAATTGTTCACAAGTTGCACATGTTGGTATAGACCTGAATAATCTCAATTCCACGGCATATAGCTGTGTCGATTGGTTCAAGGATAAAATCATGAGTGGTGGGTGGATCAATGCTACGATAAGGTACAATTCTAGTACACAGAATTTGAGTGTTCTCATGTTAGATGGCGATGCCATGGGTACTGACATAAATTCCTCCGCTATCTATGATATAGTCGACATGACAAAGTATTTGCCGGAGTGGGTGACTTTCGGTTTCTCGGCTGCCACAGGTTCGTATTTCGAGTTGCACACTCTTAAGGCATGGGAACTCAGCTCTAATGTGCAAGTGATGGCTGGAAAAAAAAGTGAGTTGTGGCTATGGTTTGTCTTAGGTTCAGGTTCTTTCATTTTGTGCACTCTTGTTCTAGCCTTTATTTGGTTTCATCACCGTTCCAATAGAAAGAGAACTTACACGAGTGGAGAAGAAGATGATACAGCGATTGAAAAAGAATTCGAGCAAGTGTTGGGGCCCAAGAAATTCTCCTACATGGAATTGGTCGCAGCCACCAATAACTTCGCAATCAATCAGTTGCTAGGGGAAGGGGGCTTTGGAAGAGTGTACAAAGGTTACTTGACCAGCATGAATGCTAATGTCGCAATCAAGAAGATTAACCCGGGGTCAAGACAAGGGATAAAGGAGTTTGCTACCGAAGTAAAGACCATAAGCCGGCTTCGGCATAGAAACTTGGTCCAACTTATCGGGTGGTGTCATGAGAAAAAGGAACTCCTTCTTATCTATGAGTTCATGTCTAATGGCAGCCTCGATTATCATTTATTCAAAGAACAAACCTTCTTGCTGTGGGAGAAGCGGTACAAAATTGCGCAAGGCATAGCCTCAGCATTGCTTTACCTCCATGAAGAATGGGAACAATGCGTCGTGCATCGGGATATAAAGTCCAGCAATATTATGCTTGATTACAATTTCAATGCTAAATTAGGGGACTTTGGTCTGGCTAGGCTAGTTGACCATGCCAAAGAGTTACAAACGACGGTGTTGGCCGGAACTAGGGGCTATTTGGCTCCTGAATGCTTTTACAATGGCAAGGCAAGTAAGGAATCAGATGTCTATAGCTTCGGAGTCGTCCTATTAGAAATAGCTTGCGGAAGAAAAGTCCTCGAGCCAATGGCCGAGGAAGACCAGGTCCAACTAGTGGACTGGGTTTGGGAGCTGTACGGGACTGGGAGGCTACTTGATGCGACAGACTCGAAGCTTACCGATTTCAATGAAAAGCAACTGGATTGCTTAATGGTTGTAGGATTGTGGTGCACTCATTTGGACCGCACTGCTCGTCCTTCCATGAAAGAAGCGTTAAATGTTCTTAACTTTAACGCTCCGCCACCTATTCTTCCAGCGAAATTGCGTGTCCCTACATACCCGGCGCCTCTATCCACATTCGCTACAGCATTGTTTGTTTCATCCCATGCCACCTCGACCGACTGCGCCGAAATGTCCAAATAGGTAGAGAAGATATCTCAATTAGGTAAGTCTCGAGCAATAGAAAAATCACTATCAGGATGTGTTCTTTTACAACATAACCTATTAATAGATACTGTCGTGATATGTTTAAATGCCAAGTTCATGACAATTTTGATGAGATGATTTTAAGGTATACCTTTTCTTTTTATCCTACTTAGATACGAAAAAGAGCATCACTACTTTTTCTCTTTCTATCTAAATGCAGGAGCTCTTTTAAAATAAAATGGGACCCTTTGGATTTTATGTTTTGTTTTGGTATACTTTTTTCTATCCTATTTTTTTGGCTAAACGTCGAGTTGCCACTAAATTGGATACTACTGCTAGTAAAATGACATATAAATTCTGACAAAAAAATAATACACAAATAAAATGGTCACCAAAAAATCCTTCATCGAGAGGCTATTTGGTTCTCATGAGGGCGAACCGAGACCCTTTCAACTCTTTTATCGCATTTGTTGCTGTGGAATTTGATACTTTCTTCTACTAACCTTTTGGGATCTGCGATGCAGACATGTCGGTTTAGAATTGAAAAACATCTCATCTGCGAGTTATTTGTGTGCAAATTGGTTGAAGGACGAAATCAGGAGTGGTGGACACATGTATGGGTCGATAATATACGACTTGAGCAAGCGAAAACTAAGTGTCCTCATGATGGGCCTCGGCGCTCCAGTCCCAAAAGACACGCTTTCACTCTCTCTTACTTCGTTGACTCGAGAAGCTAGTTTCCGGAGTGGGTAACCTTTGGTTTCTCAGCCATAACTGGGTTGGATTTCGAGCTCCATACTCTCCATACTTGGAAATTTTCTCTAACCTGCAAGTTTCTTTGCCAACAGTCACAAATCCTAGTTACAAGGTTAGAGGAAAGAAGAGCAAAGTCTGGGCTATGGTGTCTCTCGGGTTTAGGTTCATTTGCGTTGTCGGGCTTCGCTTTGGTTTCATCATCGGTCAAAGAGAAAAACAAACCACGACAACACTTGCGCAAATTACTGGAGGGAATTTAAGGCAACTATCTATCAAAAGGAAAGCAGCTGAGAATTGATCTTCGCTTAAAAACTTGAAATCTACATAAGGAGAATCGTAAAAATTATGACTTTGAATGGTTATGCTTTAGAGCTGTATACGTGTTCAGCTCTTAATGAACTGCATGTATTAAAGAAATGGGGGAAGAAAAACCTGTTTATACGACAAAGCAATATGGCAGAATGATCGGTTGGTATTTAATTCGTTCAATCTATTCCCTAATAATAATCTTACAAGTCCCTCCTTACACTTGCGTTGACGTCTGTACACCCGATTATAGGCTTAGCTCGAAATAAACATATTTTAACAATTGCGGTTACGTCAATAAAAATATATTTAAAGTGAAACATGGGACATGTTTTGACTCTTGCAATGGCAGTTGTTTTTGACAGAATCACAAAAGCCTAATATTGAAGTCTCTGTTGTTTTTCTTAGCATCATACTATATTACTATAACAAGCAATTATCGATCCGACATTCCAAAGTTCGCAGTCGTCGTTTAACACACGGCATAACCAATGACTCGGTTTGCTATTAGAGCAGTGCTAGACTTTTTATAACTAATTTACAAAATTGATTTATAGTTAATTAGGAGAGGCTAGAGAAAATAGAGGTTGGATTATGAAAGCAAGTTTAAAAGTTTTAAAAAAATGTGTTACATATTTCCATCGTAGAAGAAATTACAAGTAGAAGCCATTATATGTATGTTTGAAGCGTCTCGTTTTCGAAATTCGCTTGAATTTGCGATGGTTGTTACAATGTCGAGCTTGTTTAAGAGTTGAAGTCTTCTCTTTCTCTTAGAAGACAAGACAGCGAGTGCGGCAAAGAATTCATTCTATTTAAGTTCGCCGCATTCGAACAAGTGCAAAAGACGAAGAGAAACTTCAATTGGTTGGCAATCCAAGGACAAGTTCAAACATCGATTTCGGAAACTTGATATTGATTTAGGCTTAATCTTGTGTTAGGCTTCATCTAGCCTTGGAACAGACAGAGACAGAGAGGTAGAGAGAACAAAAATGGTGGAAGCTGTCATCGTCAGCGTTGCTGGGAAGATTAATCACTAACTAATTTATTATGAAGTGCCCCCTCGACATTTCTTAACACCATCCCTTTGGGTTATATCAATTCTTACCATATTTCTTTTTCCTTTTATACACCGTAAGGACTCTTGTTATTTTTGTTTATATTAACCCGTTACGAGGTTGCTCGCAAGTTCTTCAGCAACCAAAAGTCATTGGAACAATGTCAAAGCCCCAACAAGCTGTGCTATTCCTGATTGCAAAAGCGATCTAGAAAGCTCAACCGGAATGGAACTTCACGGCTCAGATATCATATGTTTCAAGATCAGAGGGCTTCAATCCCTCTTAGTCTTGGTTCTCTCTCTAGCCAATGCCTTCACAGCTTCGGCGTCGTCTCAGGGCATCGATTTCAGCTTCCAGACTTTCGAAGGTAGTAGCATTCAATTCTAAGGCGATGCGTCGGTTTCGACTGACTTCATCCAACTTACCAGGGCCAATCTAGACCAGCACCTCGATGGGAGCGGGGGTTGGGCCATGTACCACGAGCCGATGCACCTTTGGGATAAGGCAACTGGGAACGTGGTGGATTTCATCACCCATTTCACCTTCGTCATCAATTCGCTAGGAAAGTCAAACTTTGCCGACGGATTGGCCTTCTTTCTTGTCCCCGTAGGGTCTCAACTCTCGGCCAACTCGTTGGGAGGCTGCCTGGCTCTTATAGATCGAGACCGCGACCCTTCCAACTCTTCCGCATGGTTTGTAGCCGTCAAGTTCGACACTTTCTTCAACAATGATAGAACGTCATGGGACCCGAACTGTTCACAAGTTGCACATATCGGTATAGACTTGAATAATCTCAATTCCACGGCATATAGCTGCGTCGATTGGTTCAAAGATAAAATCATGAGCGGTGGGTGGATCAACGCCACGATAACATACAATTCTAGCACACAGAACTTGAGTGTTCTCATGATAGACGCCGATGCCACGGGTACTGACATAAATTCCTCCGCTATCTATAGCATAGTTAACCTGACAGAGTATTTGCCCGAGTGGGTGACTCTGGGTTTCTCGGCTGCCACGGGTAGGGATTTCGAGTTACACACTCTTAAGGCATGGGTATTCAGCTCTAATTTGCAAGTGATGGGCCTGATGGCCGGAAAAAAGAGCAAGTCGTGGCTATGGTCTATCTTAGGTATAGTTTCTTTCATTTTGCTCATTCTCGTACTAGCCTTTATTTGGTTTCGTCACCGTTCCATGAGGGGAGAAGATGATCCAGCGATTGAAGAAGAATTCAAGCAAGTGTCGGGGCCCAAGAAATTCTCCTACAAAGATTTGGTTGCAGCGACCGATAACTTCGCAATCGAACGATTGCTTGGAGAAGGGGGCTTTGGGAGAGTGTATAAAGGTTACTTGACCAGCACGAATGCTAATGTCGCGATCAAAAATATTAACCCAGGGTCAAATCAAGGGATAAAGGAGTTCGCTACCGAAGTGAAGACCATAAGCCGGCTCAGGCACAAAAACTTGGTCCAACTCATTGGGTGGTGTCATGAGAAAAAGGAACTCCTCCTTGTCTATGTGTTCATGCCTAATAGTAGCCTTGATTGTCATCTATTCAAAGAACATACCTTCTTGCCGTGGGAGATGCGGTACAAAATCGCACAAGGCATAGCCTCGGCATTGCTTTACCTCCATGAAGAATGGGAACAATGTGTCGTGCACCGGGATATAAAGTCTAGCAATATCATGCTCGATTACAATTTCAATGCTAAATTAGGGGATTTTGGTCTGGCTAGGCTTGTTGATCATGACAAAGAGTTACAAACGACGGTGTTGGCCGGAACCATGGGCTATTTGGCTCCTGAATATGTTTACAATAGTAAGGCGAGTAAGAAATCAGATGTCTATAGTTTCGGAGTCGTCTTATCAGAAATAGCTTGTGGAAGAAAAGCTATTGAGCCAAGGGCTGAGGAAGGTCAAGTTCGACTGGTGAACTGGGTTTGGGAGCTGTATGGGACTGGGAGGCTACTTGACGCAGTAGACTCGAAACTTGGTACCAATTATGATAAAAAGCAACTGGAGTGCTTGCTGGTTGTAGGGTTGTGGTGTGCTCATCCAGATCATACCGCCCGTCCTTCCATGAGGGAAGCATTAAACGTTCTTAACTTCATCAATCCGCTACCTGTTCTTCCATCGGAATTTCCGGTCCTTGCACACCTGGTGCCTCTATCCGCATTCGCTACATCATCGTCGGTTTCAATCCATGCCACCTCAACCAGCGGCACTGAAATGTCCACATTTACTACCTCTTCGGTACAATATTCAGCTTCTGCTGCATTGCTCCCAAATGTAGGATGAATTCCTACTTTCGGTATATTTTTCAATAATCAGTTTGACTTATAAATCATACTTCGAAATTTGATTTCGAATAATTATCTGTTTCATATAATTTCATGTGTACCTCAGTATTAACTCTTCATGTTTAAACTTCCATTTGATCTCCAGGAATAAGTAAGGTTCTTAGATGGTTTAGTATCTGAAATCAATTGCTACTTAGAGATTGTGCCCGCTCATTGCCTGAACTCATGGGTCTTAATCGAACTTTTGTAAAATTATTGTTCCCTCATTACAAATCGAAAGACTTGCTTTGCCCCCATTGCATTTGTTATGCAAGTTTTAGGATTTTCAGTGGCCTTACCCCCTAGTTGCAAGGGTTGGTAGTACATGACTTTGCTGGCGCTAGTAATGAATCTCTATCACTTTTGGTGAGTTGGACACAGGAAGCCAATAGGAATACGTCGTCTGTCATCTAAAGTCTGTAAAATGAGCGAGATTCCTTCAGAAGACGCCAAAGCAGTGAGAGGAATGGCTTGAGACAAGATAACGAAGAACAATAGATGTTAGAGATAATTAGGATATTTCTGTATATCCTGATGTTTTTGTTTTTTCGGTAATTTCTGTATATTTCT